TTCGCTGGCTACCTTTCCCTACTGGGCAGGCTTCCAGGAGTCTCAAGGGCTGCCCAGCATGGGCCAGGATGTCACCCCTGTCAGCAGCCCACCCTTCCTCCGGTCTTCTACCAGCTGTGTGTGTGTACGCATATGTGCGTGTGCACGTGTGCGTGTGTGTGTGTTTGGAATTTGACTTAGTGCCTGGGTAGAGGGTTAGACCCCCTAGGTTTCCCTCTTCTTCTGTCTGTCTGTTGGGGTTTCTTCCCCTTGGCATTGTCTCCATGATTCCTCTGTGGCCAAAGCCCCTTCCTGTATACCTTCAGCCTCATGAAGCCCCCTCAGGCGTGAGCGCCTTTCTTCTCTCAGACCTCTCCCCTGGGGCTGTGGGATGGGCAGTGCACTCTCTAAATCCATTCAGGGATGCCTGCGTTTGCAGACCCACCTGTAACCTGTGATTCTCTCCCCAACAGCATTTGCCGAAACAGCCAGTGGGTCTGCAGCAACGAGGAGTGTCCAGGTAGGTGAGCTTGCCCTCCCCTCTGGCCTCCTCCCAGTGGAGAGGTACAGCCTCCCTTCCTAGACTGGGAGGACCACCTGGCCAGGCAGGGAAAGGTGGTCTCTGCACAGGTTGGATGCAGCGCCCGACCACAGCTCCAGTGCAGGGCCAGCTGTGCTAACCCTCTCCTCCCGGGCCAGCAGAGGGAGGTACCCCAGCAACCGAAAGGGGAGACTGTGCACCTGGGAACCTTTCATTGTCCTTTTCCTTTCACCTGTTTGCCCAAAGGATTACGGTTGAACGATCTGTGAAAACTGCAAGGTCACAGGTGACTAAACAAAGATGAAGCAAATTCCTTGGAAAATTAAGAGGAAGGAGGGCCTGGTAATTCTTTAAGCTAGAAGTGAGAAATTTCTGGAATTTTCTGGAATGCCTTATCCAAAGATCTTGGCAGGATCCAAGAGCTAGGAAAACCAGGTCACTCAGTGATCCCTCCTGGAAAATCTACTTAGGAAAAGTTTCCTTATAATTTCTGCCCTTTACTTTCTCCTCTGTTTAGCCCCAACTCTATTCTATCTACTGCACATTTTGCCCGTTCAAAGCTCCCTCTGCCTCACCTTCCCGATGACCCTGGCTCTTCTGATGCTTCTCCCCTTTTGGTCAGTCATGTGTTGTTTGCTATGTGTTAGGCATGGTGTTCAGTACTTTACATGTATTATATCATCACCACAACCTATGAAGAAGGTGCAGTTTATTTCCATTTTACAAAAGAGGAAACAGATCCAGAGAGGTTAAGTAACTCACCCAAAGTCACACAGCTGCTATGAGACAGAGACAACATTCAAACTCACAACCACCTGACTTCTATTTTGCCTTTCCCTTTACTCTCCTTCCTAGTGCTCGATCCATCCCTTTGCAGGAGGATCTTTGCCATCGTTCATGAACCCTGGAGAGGCCCCATGCTTAGTTAAAGACCATCTCAGCCTCATTCAAATGCTGGATACTACTTTGGGGATCCCCATGTTTGTAGAATGCAATAAAAGACTGCAAGGCAAACAGCCAAATGATAGGCTCCCCTCCTGTTGGCCCCAAGAGACCACATTGGCTTTGGTGGGCTGGCAGGAGGTTGAGCTTACATACCTGGGATCATATTTGGGGTCTGTGGCTTTAGAGTCACTTAGGGCTTATCCAGTGCCCACTATACTGGGAAAATTCTGGAACTAGATGGAAACTAGATGGAAAGTGGGCCCCAGGACTTAGTCAATTAGTCTGGCCCAGGGATGGCCAACCAGCCGTTTATCTTCTGTGCAATTCTTGAAGGAGGCACAAAGAACAAAAGATGCTCTTGCAAGTGGTATCAGTGCTCCAATTTAACATAATCACACCCTGTGAAAGACCTCAAGAGTCATTTGAAAGCCATGAGGTCCATGTAGTGGACCTGTGAAAAAACTTTTAATATCTAAATAAGCATTTATTGTATAAGATCTATGAGGTACAGTGGGTGGAATTAGGAATTTAGCTGACTGTGTTTTGTCAGATTGACTACTAGATTAGGAATTCTTAATAACAACTTTCTATAGGGAGGGTCTTCCTTCCATCCATCCATCCATCCATCTACCATTTAATCATCCACCCAACCACCTAACAATCAATCCAACCATCCAATCATCCATCCATCTACGCATCCATCCATCCACCCATCCGTCCATCCATCCACCCATCCATCCATCCATCCATCCACCTACCCATCCATCCATCCATCCATCCATCCATCCATCCATCTATCCATCCAACAATTATTTTAAAACCCACTGTGTACGTGATGGAATGCTTAGTCTGGAGTAGACAATGTAATCCCCTGGTCTTCAATTCAAAATTTGGATGGTAACTTTGCTGAGGATGCACGAAATTTTCTTGATGCCTTGATGGGAAGAGAGCTAGTTCCAATTCTGAGGTCTACTGAGTGGTTTGATATTGTGCCAACACAACCAATAACCTCTTGCTCTGCACGTTCAAAGCCCTGACCCTCTTTTTCTAGATCTGGAGCTTAGTTGGTCCTTGCCTCCCTGTCCATTTCTACCTGTAGCACACAGCATATTTCTAGACCTGCCGAGAGTCAGCTGGCAGGGGGGCTGTCTTATCTCCCAGGGTGAAGATTGCTGGCAGAGCTTCTGATGGGAAGGTTCTGGAAGGGGATATGTCTGGCTCTGCTAGTAAAGCAAAGAGCAGGCTGGGGCTTCTCTGCAGTCCCTGGAGGAGCTGACATTGTGATTCTTAGAAATAGAGATCTGGGTTTTGATTCCCTGGAGTAAGATGAGAGTGTGCTAGTTGTCTATTACTGTATAACAAAGGGCCTCCAAACTTAGCAAACAACAAACATTTATTATCTCAGAGTTTCTGTACATCTGGAATCTGTGTGTGGCTTAGCTGGGTACCTCTGGTTCAAGATTTCTCGTGAAATTGCAGTCAAGTTGTTGACTGGGGCTGTGGTCTCATCTGAAGGTTCCTCTGTAGTGAAGGGAATCACTCTGATGCTCACTCATGTGATGGTGGCCAGGCCTTGGTCCCTCACCTTGTGGATCTCCCCTTGGGGCTGCCTCATGACATGACAGCTGGCTTCCTCTAGGGTGAGTGACCTCAGAGAGAATGAGGCAGAGCAGCCAAGACAGAAGCCACAGTCTTTTAAAAACCTGCTCTCCAAAGTGACATCTTTCACTTCTGCTGTATTATATTTGCTAGAAACAAGACCACATGTCCAGCCTGCATTCAAGGTGAGGGCATCACACAAGATGTGAATACAGGAAGTGGGGGCCATGGACCGGGGTGGGGGGACCTGAAAGTCTGCCTAGCACAGAGATCCTCATGTTTGGGAGTGGGAGGGAGAAAACAATCGCTGGGGAGAGCATCGGTTTTCATGGAGAGGGGCTGGAGCTTCTGTTACGGGCCCCTTAGGCCTTCACTGCTCCTGGTACACCTCTGTTCTGGTTAGGATTAGGGCAGCCCCAGGTGCCTGGGGCTCTGCTAATTTAGTTTCCACTGAATCATAAATGTTTGGTTGGGATCAATGAGGAAGGAGCATGCCTGTTAATAGGGACTATTCCTCAAACAAATAAAGCTCTGGGGACAGAATTTCAAACTCCTGATGGAAGAGTGTGGAAGATACTCTGCTGGAGCTGGGAAGTTTATTTGAGGCCCAAGTCCTATGAACATGGAAATGTAGCGTGGTCCTGGGGCTGGGAGCGTGAACTGTGGACTCAGCCTGGTAGGAATTCCAGTTCCACCGCTTACTAGCTGGGTGACTTTTGGCAAACTGCTTAACCACTTGCAGCCTCAGTTTCCTCATCTGTCAAATAGGATGATAACAGCAGCTTCATCCCATGAGAGCTGTGGTTACTTGACACACAGCAAGTACTCGGTAAACATTAGGTGTTTTCATCGTCACAGCCATAGCTGTTTCATTAAGCAGGGTCAGAGAAGGGTGGAGACACAAAGGAGCCTGGGATGAGGAGGGGTGGTGCAAAGCAGGGTGTGGCTGGGACAGGTGGGGCAGGAGGCAAGACAGAGCCTGAGCCTTCCCTGGGCTTGGTGGCATGGAGGCCCACGCGCCTGCCTGGTCTGGAGCGGGAGGGAGGACCTTGGTGCAACGCATTGCTCATTTGATTCGGGATAATTTCTGATGCCTTCTAAGCCATCCCTGTCATTCAGCCTTGGGATTCAAGCTGGCTGTTCTGAAACCTCTGGGAAGGAAGATAAACTTCCTCCCTGGCTAAGGGGGAAAGTGATGAGTAAACCAGGATGGTGCCCCTCCAGTAAGAACATGCTCTTCTAGGTGCCTGGGCTCAACTGGGGGATCTGACTCCCCGAATTCGTGGCAAGTCTCCTGTGGCTGCCTTGGGCCATGTTGGGGTTCCTGGAGTCTCAGCAGACCTCCTTCAGGCCAGGCCATGCGTCGCCTTTTCCTCTGCTTTCTCCATGTCCAGACCTGGATGTAGCTGTGCTCCTCGGCACTTGCCACGTGTGCCCAGCATCCCCCAGTATCCCCCTGAAATGAAGCTTATTGGAAACTGCAGCCAACCCATACAGCAGTACTGGCCGGTGTCAAGTACTATGAACTCTGGAGTCTGACAGAACGCCCACGTTCAAATTCCTCTTGGGCCACTCTGGGGCCTTGGGCGAGATTTTCTCTGTGCCTCAGTTTTCTCTTCTGTGAACTGGGAATAATAATGCCAGCCTCACCAGAGCAGTAAATGAGGTAGTGCCCATAGAGCACTTAGAAATGCGTCTTGCATGTTTGGTTGAGATTATGTTAATGTGATTTAGAGGCAGGCTTTGGTGAACATTTATGCTGGGAGGAAGCCTGAGTTGCTTTGCAGAAGGCCTGTGGGCTGGCCTTTCTGTAGCCGCATGGAAAAGGGTAGAAGCCAATGAGCTGAGCAGAACAGCCCCATGGAGGCTCCTTTCCTGCGAACAAAGGGGCTTATTTAGAAGAGGTAACATGTTTCCATCAAATGAGAGACTTTTTTTCTCTTCTTTTTTTCCATGAGGGAGGATTCTTATTCATGTAGTGGACTTGCTTTAACTTCTGGCTGTTTTCGGTTTTATGCTTTTTGCTATTTTAAGAATCACCTGCTTTGCATGCATTCACCGAACTTTTATTGCCCACCTGCTGCGTCCATTGGTGGCCAGCGGCTTGTCAGGCTGCCTTTTGCTGACCAGCTGGCTGGGAATGTCTTGGGCATCCTCTTGGCAGAACTTGGGCGTCTTGGGGACCTCTGGGCAGAGCTTGGATGAGTGTCACCGAGTGGCCCATTCTTCTGGCTCCTGTTCCAGCCCCTGGGCCCACGGCTCCCTAGCACCTCACTCAGCTGTGTTCCTGGGTTTCCCGTGTGGTCAGCCCCATCCCTCAATTGTACCAAGGAGATAAGCTAAATATAATACAGTATTTAGATTTCTGATTCCCGAGAAACTCCAGAACGCCAGTTGGGGGAGGTCAGAGCAGGAAATCAGATCAGAGGATTAGATTCTGACCCAGAAGTTTTGCTTTCGAATGTTTGCATATTTTCTCGTTGACCCCTCTTTTCCTGAGCATTGTCAGAGATAATGCAAGTTTAATTTCTTACTCAGATAAGAGTGCCGTTGAGAAAACAAAGAGAGGTTGGGGGAGGAATTCCCACCCATCGCACTGCAATGGGGTCAAGACGTGTGATACAAAGGGCCGTGTCCTTCTGTTTGTAGAATGATGGTGGCTTCCGAAAAATAGCCATTTTAAAAAGACTTTTTTGTGACACCCGTGGATTTGGAATTCCACCGGGGCTACAATCAGTCGGGATGACCCGTGCCCCTAACTCATTGCCTGTTCTGCTTGGACTTCCACAAACAGTGACCCCTCACTCGTGCCCTTCTTGTGGGGCAATGCAATGGGGAGGCACGATCTGCTTCTACTCACACTTCTGACACCACATGTGTGTGTGTTTCCCCCCGACGACAACCAATCCTCCGACTTTCTGGACACCACCCGGGTGTCCTACAATTCAGTTCAGTTCTGACCCTGACTACCCAGAATTAGCACAGACCCCGCAGGTGAAGGGCTCCGTCCACGTGCTCCTGCTTCTGATGGCAGCTATGATAATTGTTAGAATGGCTCACAGAACTCAGGCAAACACTTTACTTACTATTACTGGTTTATTACAAAAAATGTTATAAAGGAGACAAATGACCAGCCAGTTGGAGATGTACACAGGGTGAGCTCTGGAAGGGTGCTGAGCACAGGAGCTTGTGTCCCTGTGGAGTTGGGGTGTCCTACATGTAAATATGTTCACCAACCTGGAAGCCCTCCCAACTCTGTTGTTTAATAAGAGTTTTTATGGAGGTTTTACTATATAAGCACGACTGATGATGATTATTTTTTTAAAGATATTTTTGATGAGGACCATTTTTAAAGTCTTTATTGAATTTGTTACAATGTTGCTTCTGTTTTATGTTTTGTTTTTATGGCTGCCAGGCATGTGGGATCTTAGCTTCCCGACCAAGGAAGCTTGGAACTGAAGTCCCAACCACTGGACCTCCGGGGAAGTCCCTAAGCCTGGTTGATTATTAACTCAATCTCCAGCCCCTCTCCCTTCCCTGGAGTTTGGGGGATGGGACTGAAAGTCCCAACCCTCTAATCATACTTAGGTCTTTCTGTAACCAGTTCCCATCCTGAAGCTCTCGAGGGACCCGCTAAGAGGGGCTTCATTAGAACAAAAGATGCTCCTCTCACCCAGGACATTCCTAGGGCTCTAGAATCTCTGTGTCAGGAATCAGGGACAAAGACATGTATATTTCTTCCTGTCACAGAAGATGATGCTGGTGAGGATGATCTGGGGCCTCCCTATTTTCTCCTAATTTCTCTGGGCTGAGTGTGCCCTCCTGGCCCACGCCATCTCAGAAGGGGTTAGTTGCTCTGGGGACCAGGCAGAGGGACACTCACTGTAACCTGGGGCTACTCGCCCTTCCCCTGCCTTCCAGCACATACAAAGGGCAGGGCCACACCTGGACCCAAAGCTGGTCCTGCCCCTCCCCCTGGCCGCCCCCCCCCCACCTCACCCCCATATCTGCTGTGTCTTTCAGTGCAAATCTGGGCATGAGGTGGCAGGCAGGGGGCCGATGGGGCTTGTCTTTGACAGGTGGACAGCTGGAACCCCTCTCAGGCCTTTGGGGACCCCTGACTGTGTGACTGGGTTCAGCATCAGCCCCTGGAGATGGGTCCAAGTGGGGTGCAGGGCCCAAGTAGGCTGTAGGACCCTCCTAGGGGGAACTTGGGGTGCAGAGCAGAGTGGTGCTATGGAGGATGAGTCTCTGCTGTTTGGAGGCCAGGGGGCACTGGGAGGGAAAGGAGGGCCCCTACTTTATGGAATGGCTGTGCTGTGCGTCCGCTTTGCTCTCTCTATAGCGTAGAAGGCAAAGAGGAGAGGAAACAGGTAAAGGGAGGCTGTGGGGAGGCTTCCAGATGCCGGCCTCGGCTTCACTGGGTCCGCTGTGCGCTGAGTTGGAGTTGGGCCAGTGGGGAGTCACTGGCGGCATTAGCAAAGCCCCCCTCCCCCAGCACGGGCGACCTGCGGTCCGAGGTGCACCGGGCCAGCACCACGGGCCGGCACTGGGGCCCGGGAGGATGGAGTAGCTGTTGGGTGGGTGCGCGTCGAGGGCTCGAGTGGCAGGGTGATGCCGGGGCGTCCTCGTACCCATCCCCAGATGTGTCAGCTGGCTCGGGCAGTGGTGGGATCATGGCAGATGGGGTCCTGGGCCCCCATTGGCCCCGGCTGAAGGCACAGCATGGATTTGCCCGGGAGGAGGCCTGAGGGCCGCTCCTCGGCTGGCGAGGGGGTGAGGATCGGGTCCTGGCCCCTGCACTGCTGGGCTCCCCCTTCCCCCATCACTGCTCTGGGCGGCCTTTCTGCCCTCTTGCCCTCAGGGACTCTCGTGGAGGGGGGAGTGCCCACAATGGCAGCGCAGAGAAAGGCCTCTGCGGGCCCGAGGCCCTTGGCCCCAGCAGAGCCAGAACCTGGAGCGGCCGTGGGGAAGGGCTGGGGGCCACGGTGAACCCAGAGCGCAGAGCCAGAGCCACGGGTTCCGGTCTGGCTCTGCCACTCCTTGGGTGTGGCGGTCATTCCCCTGAGGCGTGGAACTGACCCACCCGGCCCTGACCTCTCAGGGCCAGAGGAGTGGGGCCTGAATAGAGTCCTCCTGTGGAGCCCCTTTATAGGCTGTGGTGAGGGGCACCCCCAGGAGGTGCCCTGCTGGGACACCCGCTCTCCCCTCCCCTCTGTCCCCCCAGGGGACCCGCTGGGACACCCGCTCTCCCCTCCCCTGTGTCCCCCCAGGGGACCCACTGGGACCCGCTCTCCCCTCCCCTCTGTCCCCCCAGGGGACCCGCTGGGACACACTCTCCCCTCCCTTGTGTCCCCCAGGGGAATGTCTCATCACAGGCCAATCCCACTTCAAGAGCTTTGACAGCAGGCACTTCACCTTCAGCGGGGTCTGCCAGTACCTGCTGGCCCGGGACTGCCAGGACCACTCCTTCTCCATCATCATAGAGACTGTCCAGGTGAGCCTCGCCAGGCAGCCTCAGGGCAACCGCCGGGGCGAGGGGGGCAAGATGGCCCCGTGTGCGTGTCCTTCCTCTGGACAACCGAGCAAAGGGGGGGACAGACAGGGCGCACAGGGCTCCCCTGAGGACCCTGAGCCCCTGTGGAACAACAGGCCCAAGGAACAAGGGCAAGCAAGGCCTAGAATCCTGATAAAGGGCCAGAGCAGGATGGTGCTGGGCAGGGGGAGGCCTGGGCTTTGGGCCTCTCTGTGGCATAACCCCAGGCCCTTCCCGGAGATGGTTCTGGGACCAGGGAGTGGTTCCGTGTGAGAAGGGCTCCGTAGGTGGAGGGCTTTCCCCGAGTGGATGGGTCGGGAGCTGGGCCACGGGGCTGGCAGGGGTTTGGTGATGTCCCTCGGCGTGCCCTTCTCGGCAGTGTGCTGACGACCCCGACGCCGTCTGCACCCGCTCGGTCACCGTCCGCCTGCCCAGCCAGCACAACAACGTCGTGAAGCTGAAGCACGGGGGAGGCGTTGCCATGGATGGTCAGGACATCCAGATCCCCCTCCTGCAAGGTGGGTGCCCTCCTCCCCCACAGGCCCCCCCC